AGTCCCCGGCAACGACGCCAAAAACTTGATAGGGAAAAAGCGTATATGCCAATTTCCTATCTCGTAGTAAACCGGAAAGTCCGAGTATCGTCTCTCAGGGACTGTACAACCTTATATTCTATCAAATTTATGAGCAAACTATAAGTGAAAATAGTTTAATGAGACTAATTTCTAAAAGCAAAATAAAATAAACAAATTAACTAAATGAAAACTGTCGGGAGAAATTCAATGGAGAAAGCTCTGGGAGAAACACCGGGACTCGCTACCTATCATATCCAAATTAATTCACATATTCCAATCAATTTAATCCATATCTCTATAGCCAGGATATCACTACTGTGCTAGCTATCCCTGTCGGGAATTACTACGTACTAAACAATTAAATCAAATCCTACTGTCGTAGCTCAATGACTTAATTATTTAGCCTGAAGATGGATATCATATTCAAGACCACATAGCATCTTATTTAATCCACTGTCGCTTCGATAAGTTACTATGTCACATGAAATATGTTCAGTTTTTAGGGTTTCACTGTCGCTAATAACCTAATTAACAACAAATCAATGTATTGGTGGCCAGTCAACACAAAGCATTAAGTAATTCCATGCAATAGAGATTGGAAGAAAAGAAATACGAATTAATCCATCAATTCTAGAAATAGCTACATCCTATGGTGTTTCCCCCATAAATTGGGGTTTAGTTCATGATGAAACTAAGATAAACCAATATGGTTTTGATCATCATGTTCCAAATCAACAATAAACAACTAGTTCGGTCTAGAAAATCCAACCAAAATAATCGCTCTCGTTGATCTCAGCTCAAGCCGCCTGGGAAATCTCGATCGACAATTGCCATGTTCCTCTCGTCCCAGCTTGCGCTGCGCCTCTCTTTTTTCCTCCCAAAAGAATTCTCCTCCTGTTAATTTCGTTCCGTTCCAAAATTCCCCGTCCAATAAAATCCCTCCGCCCAAATATATCTCCCCGCCTTCCCAGCTGACCTCTCTCTTTAATTCCCCCTTCCGTGCCTTTGTTCTCTCTTTTCAGAATTTTGTTCCCAGAGAATTCCTTTCCCTTTCGTCCAATCCAAAGTCCCCCCTTAATTAATTGCCCAAATAAATGTATCCGCCCAAAATAGAGATTCCCCTGGCTCCAGCTGCTGCCTCTAATTTGCCGGGCCCAATAAATCCACCAAAGTCCTGGTCCAAATTGGAAAATAATGCACTCCAACTGGGCTAGCTCAAGAACCCGGTCCAAATTGATTTTATGATAGACTTGATTTGTGTTCGACTTATCTGTCTGCTTGTACTTCCACAATTTCTATCTTTCCACCTAAAATATATCAACATTCTAATACATGGTGGTAATGATCATATAACCATTCCGGAATCAGTTGGCTTTAAAACAAACAATATATGTCTCAAACATATCATGAAATAATCACATTAAGCACATAATATCAATATGGTTTCGACAATTATAAGTGATCCTTTAATTATGCTTATAAGTGATGAATTTGTGTGAAATAGGAAGCACTAAGGTTGATTATGGCATCATTGGGTCTCAATAGAAGCCTCCAATTGTAGTAGGATAGTGGTCATCTCATAACACAGTATTGCAGAGCATGAGCTACCAAGTTATACAAACTTTGGCATATGCATCTTCGATTAATAAAAAAAATTAGGCAATGAGATTATTTGAACCTTTCTACCAATCAAACACAGACCAACAACTAAAGCCTCAAAACTTTGCAATGTTGCAACGAAGCGCGGCACAACACCCCTAGTTATCATTGCGGCAATACCTAGCAGAGTGCGGGAAAATTGTACCTATCCTTCTGTAAAAGGCCTACAACTAAATTGTACTTACGTTTTCAGAAAAAGTTGGTAGTTTCTAATTCTGTGGTTAATTGTTATAGAACTGCAACTTAACGGTTGATAGAACCGTTCATGTACTATAACATACAATAATATAATATACTAATTTAATACGAAATTTATCACAATTTCAAATTCATATCATCCATCACCAAAAGTTCTAACAAAATATTCAAACTATGTTATAAAAGAAACCATATTTTTTTATGAAATTCAAGTTAGTAATTAGAATGGTAATAGGTAGTGGACTACGTAAAATCAATAGGAGGATGAAAAAATATATAAAAGGTATCATAAATAAACTAGTAATTCGGGTTGAATGGTCTAGTTTATGTTGAAGTATTTTTTTTCTTAATTTTTCCCCTTAAAATACTGAACCAATGAACCCATCAAATCATAATGGCTCATATGGTTTCATGTCCAACAGTTAAATTGTTCAATCCATCTCTATCCATTCAGACCAATGAAGCAAAACGCTATTGTAACTGATGGGACATCAATGGGCCAGTTACATGTGGCAAGAGCATTGGTAGAGAAGCTTGCAACTTATTTGGAGAGTCATTTTGGAGCTATGGATGTGGAGTTGTTTCGAGGGAAGCCATATACGATGATTCGAGTGGATGAAGAAGGAGGAAGTGTTGAAGAGAAAACAAATCAAAAGAAGTAGGCTTAACGGGTTTTATGCTTAACGAGTCATTTGGGCTGGTTAACGGGTTCTCTTGTTTTAATTTTATATTTACCTTGTTGGTGTCGGTTTTGAATTGTATTTTGCCTATTTAAAGGGGCTGAACTCGTTGGTTTGGAGGTTAGACAATTTTGAGTGAATTTCAAAGGTATTGCCGAGTTTCCTAGAGGACTTTTGCCCTAATTACTCTATTGAGAATTATGGATTGTTAGAGCAACTCTTATCAGTTAGGTGTTCACCCTAGTTGTGGCGTGCTACCCATATCGATTGCCCTTTCTTCTGAGTTGAATCTGTCCGACCGATTCATATATCGATTGCCCTTATTCACGACTAAGTACTATCCGATCGATTTCCATCATATATGGTTCTTTTGGTTCGAATTCCTTGGAATTGTGCGACTTTGATCGTATCAAGTGGTATCAGAGCACGGTTCAAATCTGTGGCGTGTTCTTGAAGTTTCTTGAAGTTCTTGTGCGATTTCTTGTGGATCTTGGCGTTTTCTTGAAGTTCTTGAGGTTCTTGTCGAGATCATTGGGATCTTGAACGAAATGGAGGTATTCTTGGAAGGTTTTTGGTGCTTCTTGTCCCGTAAGAAGCAGGTTGTGTTCGCCCTAGTTGTGGCGAGCTACCCATATCGATTGCCCTTTATTCTGAGTTGAATATGTCCGACCGATTCATATATCGATTGCCCTTATTCGCGACTGAGTACTATCCAATCGATTTCCATCATATATGGTTCTTTTGGTTCGAATTGCTTGGAGTTGTGCGACTTTGATCGTATCAAGTGGTATCAGAGCACGGTTCAAATCTGTGGCGTGTTCTTGAAGTTTCTTGAAGTTCTTGTGCGATTTCTTGTGGATCTTGGCGTTTTCTTGAAGTTCTTGAGGTTCTTGTCGAGATCATTGGGATTTTTAACGAATTGGAGGTATTCTTGGAAGGTTTTTGGTGTTTCTTGTCCCACAAGAAGAGGGTTGTGTTCGGTTCTTGGAGACTCCTTGGGTTTCTTGAGTCGTAAGCATGGAGGAAGCCCTTAGAGCCATCACAACTCAGTTGAAAGCCATTGCTCAAACTCAAGAAGAGCGAACGACGAGGTTGATTGAACGGCGATGAGAATGGAGGCAGTGAAAGCTAAACTTCAGCAACTAGTCCTCGCCGACGCAAACCCTAACCTGAGACCTCAACAAGAAAAAAGGGGAAGGGAAACTCGAGCTCCTCTACCCCTCGTTCATGAACTATAGCGGCATATGCGTCAACATCGACGTCTGGGGATACCCCGAGCTGAGAGAAGAGGGCGACGACAGTAACAAGAAGAAGGAGATTTTGAGGATTTCGATGAAGAAGACGAGGCGGGGTTTGAGGAAGACGATGATCTTCGAAACCTTAGGGTCACAATTCCACCCTTTTGTGGTACCACAAATCCTTATGCTTATCTAGATTGGGAACGGAAGATGGAATTGGTATTTGATTGCCACAATTAATCCAAGAAGAAGAAGATCATGTTGGCTGCCCTAGAGTTCTCGGATTATGCGCTCGTTTGGTGGGATCAGTTATGCACAAGAAGGAGGAGAAATAGACAACATCCGATTGAAACGTGCGACGATATGAAGGGTATAATGAGGGATCGGTTTGTGTCGAGTTCTCATTAGAGAGACATGTATCAGGACCTCCAACTTCTTCAGCAAGGTACTAAAAGTGTTGAAGATTATCACAAGGAGATGAAAGTTTTGATGATACAAGCTGATATTCGAGAGGATCGCGAGGCTACCATTGCTCATTTTCTGTATGGTCTCAATTGTGAGATCAAGAATGTGGTGGAAATCCAACCATTCCTTGAGCTTGAAAATTTGGGGGATATGGCCAGCAAGGTGGAACGACAGCTGTGAAACTGAAACAGGAGGTTCCAACCTTCTACGAATTCCCAACAAACTAATCCGGGTGTTGCAACTAACCCTAAGCCGCAAATACCTAAGAGAGAAGCTCTCAGACCTGCGACAAAGGTTGAAGGTGTGAATCCAGTGATGAAGCAACGTGGATTGTCAGGGGAAATTCAATGCTTTAAATGCCATGGAAGAGGGCATATTGCGAATAAATGTGCTAATAAGAAGACCCTGATCTTGCTTGATAACGACGAGTATGTGTCTGAAGAAGAGAAGGAAGAGACCATCGATTTTGAAGTCGACTAGTCTGTAGAGATGGAACCACCTCGAGGAAGTTTGTTTGTAGCAAGGAGGGTGTTGACTACGCTGCCTAAGGAGGATAGTGAAAAACAAGAAAACATATTTCATACAAGGTGTGCGGTTGATGGAAAGCTGTTGTCCCTAGTGATCGATGGAGGGAGTTGCACAAATGTTGTGAGTGCATGTGCTGTGAAGAGGCTAGGGCTGCCTACATTGAAGCATCTGAAGCCATATACATTACAATGGTTTAACGATCATGGATCCATTAAAGTCACGAATCAAGCATTGATGAAATTCGAAATTGGTGGGTGTAAGGATGAGATTTTATGCGACGTAGTGCCTATGCAAGCTGCGCATATACTTCTTGGCATGCCATGACAGTTTGATTGACAAGCACAACATGAAGGAGTTACTAACAAATACAAGCTACTACATGCAGGGAAAAAATTCGTGTTGAAGCCTCTGTCTCCAAGAGAAGTCTATCTAGATCAACTCCAAATTCAGCACCATCGAGAGCAGGAGGAGGAGAGCAGTTCTGCGATCAAGAAAGGAGAAGAATGATCCAATGTTGTGGGATCCCAGGCTGCTATGTTAGCACGAAGTGGAGACATGAAGCAGGCAGCTTATGGGCGAGAATCACTAATCATGATCATCAACAAAGGCGTGGTACTCAATCAAGAGCTAGTCCAAGAAGTCCCATCGATGGCACGAGCTGTATTGGAGGAGTTTGGTGATGTTTTCCCAGAGGAAGCACCCAAGGGACTGCCTCCCATTCGAGGGATCGAACATCGAATTGATTTCATTCCGGGAGCTACAATTCCAAACAAGGTAGCATATCGAACGAATTCGGAGGAGTCCAAAGAGCTGCAAAGGCAGATCGAGGAGCTCGTGGAGAAAGGGCATGTTCGTGAAAGCATGAGCCCGTGTGCATTACCAGTGATTCTTGTGCCAAAGACGGACCACACCTAGAGGATGTGTGTAGACTACTGAGCCATTAATCAAATCATAGTTAAGTATCGTCATCCCATCCCTTGACTAGATGATATGCTTGACGAATTACATGGCTCTAGTGTGTTTTTGAAGATTGATTTGAGATAAGGTTATCACCGAAATTCGTATGAAGGAGGGAGACAAGTGGAAGACTGCTCTTAAGACTAAGCAAGGTCTATATGAATGGATGGTGATGCCCTTGGGTTTAACCAATGCTCCTAGCACGTTCATGAGGTTGATGAGCCACGTTTTGAGGCCTTTCGTTGGCAAGTTCGTGGTTGTCTACTTCGACCACATTATGATCTACTCGAATTGCATGGAGGAACTATACCATTGCATTATATAAGAAATAGTAAACATAAACACTATAATAGACCATTCAAAGGAAATCATTAACCCTAAAGCTAGCCACTATTGCCAAGCACCCTAATGCCCCTAGAGTGAACGTGAGAAAACCAAAAGAATGCTTACCTGACTCCAATTCCCGATGGTGAATATGAAAGCCACCAAGATATTTCATAAAGGAAATCCAATCTAGGTTACCCCTAGACCAAAAACCATAGTGATACCAAAGGTGATAAATTCATGACTGAGAAAACCAAAACCAGCAATGTCCAAATCAAGTTGATGGAATGCGTAGGCCAATTGTTTTTTCTGATAAATAGTTTTGTTAGTTAAAATGACAGAAAAAGAAAAGAAATACAAAGCATGCAATCCTACCACTTGAAATCCTACCAAATCACTCACAATCACTCTGCTAGACTAAACACACAAATGACTTACACTTCTATACCTTCTATCTCTTCAATTTGTATAAGTCAATCATCATGTAACCTCTTCATTATCATGATTCTTATCCTTCTCGACAGCAAACACACTGATTGGTCCTCTCTTACTCCAATCGACCATTCTTTGTTGCAATTTATGGCTTGAGGTAATATCACTTCATTCATAATATGAATTTTGCATGAAATGAAAGAATTAATCAGTATAATAGCCTTGCAATATTTAGAATACCAATGACGATTCCTCTCTTCTCCTCGGTGGCTTCGTCAATAAAATGAGATTGATGGCTATCTCTACCAACACTTTCTATATGATCATAGTGTGGTCTTTTTGTATAAACCGTTTATGCCTTACCAGCTTTTGCATCGCAAATCCAAGAGCTAACTTGTTGGGACTTCCTCTAGGTAAACAGCTTGTATCAACATCAGGTATGACAACCAAAATTGCTTTGGTCGAGATACTATTAGGATCTTGAGCTGCTCTAAAGAAGCCTAAATTGTTGCTCAACCCCCAATCAATTTGACGTGGGTCATTGCTCTCAGGTTAGTCTTTTTCATAGCTTAACTTGACAATTTAGAGAAGATACAATCACGATTCACAATTTCAGAACATCCACCTCAGATAATACAATCTTATGGAGACAACATTAATGAAGTACCCAAATTACAATTTTGTACATGTTTCCTATGAGGTGTGCATGTGCAAACTAAGAAAAATAGAAGGATTAAGTAGCAGTGGTGGAGCCACAACCAAGGTAGTGGGGTCCTGGACCCCACTTGGGGATAATTATGAGCAAAAAATACTTAGATAATTGTTGTGAATTGGATTCAGGACCCCATAATGAATCATCTCATTCAACATATGGAGCCACAACCAAGGTAGTGGGATCCTGGACCCCACTTGGGGATAATTATGAGCAAAAAATACTTAGATACTTGTTGTGAATTGGATTCAGGACCCCATAATGAATCATCTCATTCAACATATTAAGAGCTTCTCATATATCTTCACCTTAGTTTCTAGGTAATTCACCACTCAGGACCCCACTCAAGTTCAAATATAGCTATGCCACTCTTAAGGAGGGAGCTTACTTGGCATGCGGTTTTGATGAGCAAAAATCTCATCAAAAAATTCCAGATGGAGATGTCCAATCGGTCGGGTCTAGAAATGTGCATATTTCAACAGACTATACAACAAACACAAAGAGTTTTTTTTCGTTGAATCAGTAGCTTTTATTTTAATAAAACACCAATACAACGAAGCATGGGTCCTGCAGGCCCATGGACAAGCTCTACATCGCACTGCCTACCCTTCCCTCTCTATAAAAACTACTTACTAAGTACCAAGCAAAAAAAACTTATAAGTATCCAAGCTGTTCCAATCCATCTCGCACAGCCCTATTCCCACATGTGAGAAGTAAGAGTTCCGCTTTGATCATCTCTACTATTTTACCTGGAGAACGGAGAGCAGAACCATGAACGAGCCCGCATCTTTCCTTCCATATAACTGCGATCAGCACACACCATATAAGGGCGTGCCATTTTCCTTCCTGAAAGTTGTAGCTGACTTTTCTGCTGACAACATGAAGCATTACCCCCCAATCGTTGTGTCTCAGAAGCTGGCATTGTAGCTGACTAGCGAGCTGACATGAGTAAGAACACTTAAGGAAGATATGATCCCTTGTCTATATGTCCACCCCACAGAAAAGGCACGATGCATCAGTAGTTTTGCCCCACTTCTTAAGCTTATCTCTTGTGACAATGGCATTTTTAATGATAATCCATGCTAAGAAGCTGTAGCGAGGAGGAAAAACCCCGTTCCAGACCAACTTGTGCCAAGGAACCTTGGGAGCTTTCCTTCTCAACGTTTCCCAAACTCTCATCACTGAATAAACCTGCATTTTCTTCTAATCCCAAAAAACAATACCATTCTGAACCTGAATCAAAGGCAGTATAACACTCCTCAAATTCAGGATTCTTCGCCATGCCCAAGAGCTACTATATTGCACTCGCATAGACCATAAGTCCCCCTCCTTACTCTTGTATTCAAACATCCATGCTACCCAAAGAGCTCATGACTTCATGAGAAATAACCAAAGCATACAAATCGTGCAGGCTTGATTCCATGCCAGCAAGTCTTTCACTCCCAGACCACCCTCTTGTTTTGGCAACGAAACCTCATCCCAAGCCACTTTGGCTTTACCCTCCTCTGCTCCATGCCATAAGAAGTTTGAACAAACTTTCTGAATGCGTTTGAGGACCTTCTTTGGGAATACAAACAGTTGCATCCAGTATTGAATGACACCTAGAAGTACCGAGTTAACCAATTGTAGCCTTCCTGCATAAGTAAGCTTTCTTGCTCTCCAAGATTGAACATGCTTTGTTATTTTTTCAAACAAGATATCAACTTCCTTAGAAGATAGTTTGCCAGTCATCAGAGGTAGCCCCAAGTAACGAACTGGTAAACTTCCCTCCTTAAAACCAGATAGGTGCAAGGCATTACTTTTGTATCGGATAGAATCCCCCCCCCCCCCCCAAAATACACCTCACACTTGGCAGGGTTACTCTTGAGCCCAGAAATCTGATAGAATGAATGCAACTCTTGCTTAACCTGTAAAATTGCCTGAGCAGACCCTGAAGTGAAAACCAAAATATCATCTGCGAAGCACATATGGTTTAGCGTGATCCTTCGACACTGAGGATGATAGGGGATAACACCCTCCTGTCCAGCAGATTACAACATGACAGACAAGCCCTCCATAGCGATGGTGAAGAGATAGGGCGACAAGGGATCACCTTGACGTACCCCTTTCCGAGCCCGAAAAAACCCACATAAGCTGCCATTAACATTTATACTGTAGTGAGCAGTTTGAATACAACTTCTGATCCATCCCAGAAACTTTGTTGGAAATCCCATAGCACTCATCGTAAGGAAAAGATATTGCCAATTGACTCAGTCGAATGCCTTCATGATGTCTATTTTGAAAGCACATCGTGAAGATAAACCAACCCTGTTGTATCCACTAACTAGTTCTTGTGCCAGCAAAATGTTGTCCATTATGCTTCGCCCCTTAATGAAAGCTGATTGAGTATTACTGATGATAAGAGGCATCACTTCTCTAATCCTTTTAGCTAAGATCTTCGCTATGATTTTGTACAGCAGGTTAACACATGAGATAGGCCGAAAGTTCTTAAGTGTGTCAGCGCCAGAAACCTTTGGAATAAGAGATACTGTTGTGGAATTGACACCACTAGGTAACATACCTGATTGGAAGAAGAAAAGCACACCCTTGGTGATATCAGCCCCAATAATAGACCAAGCACGTTTGTAAAACCCCGCAGAAAACCCATCGGGGCCAGGAGCCTTTTGGGAATTCATACTGAAGACTACCTGTCGGACCTCCTCTGCTGTGATATCCCTGACTAGTATGTCACAATCCGAGACAGGAATTTGCCTTCGAACCAATTTCTTCACCTCATCCACATTTTGGTGGATCTCAGGGTTGCCTCCCCCAGTAACTTCTTGTAAAAACCTACCACTTCCTCAATAATCTGCTCAGATTTGACAATCTCCATTCCATATTCCGTGACCAGCTTCCTTATAGCCCGTTTAGAGTTCCGTATTTTAACAGCTTGATGGAAAAAATTTGAGCACTTGTCTCCAACAGATAACCAAGAGACCCTTGATTTTTGCCAGCAAAAACTTTCAAAAGCAAGCAAAAACTGATCAAACTGTACCTTAGCCTGTGAAACTGCCTCAAAGTGTTCTGTTGTAGGGTTTGAGAAGGCAGTAATCTGGAATCGCTGTAATTCTCTTTCCGCTTCCAATACCTGATCTTGCAGGTTCCCAAAAATCTCCTTATTGAATTTTTTCAGAGCTTTCTTCACCTCTTTAAGTTTACCTTGGATAACCTGCAAAGGTGAACCAGAAACTTCCACACTCCAGGCCTCTTCAATAATTTGCAGGTTCCCAAAAATCGTGGATGTTCAGCCCAAAATTCAAAATATTTGAATGGCTTGGGAAGGGATTTGGTGGGAAGCGTTGTGCTCACCTGCACACCACAATGATCCGAGAAATGTGCAGGAAATGACTCCATTCCACAGTTCTGAAATTTGCCAATCCACTCTAGATTCACCAATGCTCTATCTAGTCACTTCGCTATCGGGTTACCAGCTTTTCTATTAGTCCACGTATATTGGGGCCCTGTAGTGCGATAATCCAGTAATTCCATATCCCCTATCCACTTACTAAACTCTGCCATACTTGGTGTCACAGACCTCTGGTTTAATGTTTCTTCTGGAGAGCGAACAGTGTTGAAGTCCCCTCCAACAATCCAAGGCTGGCCTACAACTTTGAGCTTTGCAATCTCTGTATAGGTACTCTGTCGTTCAACTTCGTCATTAGAAAAATAGACAGCTGTCAAAAAGAAGATATCTCTGTTTACGTCTTCAACCAAGCAATGAACAAAATTTCTCCCTGGCTTAAGCACCCTGATTTTTATTGCAAGGTCCCAAAATAGCCAGACCCTCCCTAACTTCGAATCGACACAGTTAAGACATTTTTCCCACCCCTCAAATA